TCTCAGACAGTAAATGAATAAAATTGCCCTAGCTTAAAAATTGTCACAAATTCACAGCGAATTAGAGATCCAGTCTCCACTCTAGAGAACGAAATAATCAAATGTATAAAACAAATATTTACCTTTATATGACAGTATAACTTCGACATGGCGAAGCGCTTGACTGAATTTCAAATAAACACACTTTAAAGGCATCCTTGTTGGCGTAATATTCTTTCTTTCTTCTCATATTGTTTAAATGATTTGTTATTAATCGGATTTCACTTCATAAAAGTCACAAATCGTTGAAAATCTCTTCGAAACTGTGTATTCCCACTCCTTGTATCAACAAATATAGAATCGCGCGTATATTACGCAATCGGACTGGAAACCATGGAAACGAGAGATAAGTAGTCTACCAAAACAAAAAGAATCGCACATGCGCAGCACGGACTGTAACCCGTCTTTAATTATTATCAATAACCAAAACTCATTTTTGAACATTAGATATACTAAATTTTAAAAAAAGGTGAGAATGGGATGAATTCAGTGACAAAAATATTGCCTGGGCGGATACCTTAAGGAAAGTGTACATTACACGCTCAAAATGTGACGTAATTAACAAGAAAATGTAACGTTTTGAAACGTAAATATCGTGGAAAAAATTTGCGCTCAATGCTTGATTGCAAATGGTATTAAGTTATATGCACTTTTTTTGTACAAATTGTACTGACGTGTTATTTTGTTTCGGCTAACTGCAAATTAGGAAGTGCATTCAGTAACAGGTGTTGCGTTACTTGATGATGCATTATAAACTAAACATAACACACATAGTTAAATCATTCATTGTTCTAAACTTGTACCCTGGATTCCAGAGCCTTCAGTAAATAATAAATTGAAACATTGTGAAGGCTCTGGTTCAACGGGAGGATTCTTTGATTAAACCCGCCCCAATCACAAAACAGAATTAGTGGTTTTAGTACAGATTCAAAATTAACCCATCGAGTTGCATTGCACCCTGATGCGCCTGACTTTATTATTTTGCTCTATATAACGCCAGATGATTTACTAATCAATGGGTGAGCGCTGGCACTTAATGGGTTAACTGACCATCTGCCCATGTGTGTAGTTAACCAATGAGTTGCATACTTGTGCCCTGATCAATGCATCTACCCTACTTTATTATTTTGATCTGTCTTTACTAATGCCGGACGATTTTACTTGTCAAGGGGAGAGCACTGGCGCTTAATTGGTTATACACACAGTATAACCTGTGTAATAACGTATGTAGGTTAAAAAACACAAGCATTTTATCTGCCATTTTAAACTAATGATAAATTAAAATGAGGTTTAACATAAATAAATCTTGGGGCTAACAATGTTATCTTGACGTTTTTCAACCTCATGCTGGATGTTTTTGAAAATAAGTCGTTTTCAAGATGGACAACAGTTCAAGTGCTGAAATAGAGATATTTTTAGAGAAATAAACCTTTCCGATGTGGCTGAGATATTCAAAAGTCGGTTGCTTTACCCTTTCGAACATGCTTTTATTGTGTCACACACAATATTTTTTTATCGCATATGACTAAATGTTTCAATTTATAAGTCGGGACCACATGAATATCCTGAAATTGTTAACAACTCCTACCCTTCCCACAGGTATTTTGACTCAGAAATTGTGCCCTTGTGTGGGGAATTTGACAAAAACATTACAAAATGTCAAATGCCGGTGGGTTTGCCCACCCTCTTTGGGGTGGTGGAAACAAATTATACAGTATGTGCATAAAGCTGCAATGGCAATAAAATTCCTTGTGAAATTGAATCCAGTGTCATAATAAACTACAAACATTCTAATTGAAATATACCTTACCATAAAGACATATGTTGACACCTTGCAATACTTCTCAACATCATTCTTTAGTGAAAGAACAAGATGTGCTTTGGAGCCAGGATGGATAAGAACTGAGAAAGTGTTATTTTTAACTTCAACAGTCTCTGATAACACGTTGTAAATGAGAGAATGCAAAAATTTGTCGAGTAAAATACTTGGAACAAGTGTCTTTTGCAAGCAACCAAATGTACTTAATTTATCCAACTCATTAACTTTGGATGCACTTTTGTAAACTTCCAATAAGAAAAAGTTTTAATGTATTGCAATTAATTTTTTTCCCAGACAGTTCTAACATTGCTTGGACAACTTTAAATGTGTCAGACATCCCATCAGTCTTCATGTATGTCCCCCGGTACTTCAATTGTCACAGCTTCCACCGCAAAAATAATCTCTATTCTCCCCATAGTAATGCAGTATGGATGAATGTCCAGTGAACTTCCAATAAGAAAAAGTTTTAATGTATTGCAATTAATTTTCTTCCCAGACAGTTCTAACATTCCTTGGACAACTTTAATTGCGTCAGACGCCCCATCAGTCTTTATGTATGTCCCCTGGTACTTACGTTGTCTATGAAATTAACCTGTTAAGTGTTAAGGACTGCTTTGAAAAGTCTCCATTGGCACAGAAGAGTTTCAGAAGTGCAGTTTTATCTGCATAGTTATAATAGGTTAAGCAAGTACTTAGTTGGTCATCACACCTGCTCTTCCACATTGTTGAAAATATTCATCTAGATTGGTAGGCATTTTCTCATGAATAATGAATCTCACATTTCTGTTGTCAACCCCCATGCCAAATGATGTATTTGCAACCATAACTTTCACTTCACCTGATGTCCACTTTTGAAAACTGGCTTCTTTAACAGGTTGAGACAACTGACCATGGTATTGTACACACATTTCATTTCTTTTTAATAATTCTGAATGTATTTTAAGTACATCAGATGGAAAGACACTGTAGACAATTCTGCATTCATCTTTCCTATTTAATATATACTGAGCCAATTCATCATAAAATTTATTTCCACTTGGCTTTTCCTGAACATGTAGGAACATATTATCACGTAATACAGTTCCTTTGATAACTTCCAATGTACCAAACACTTCTGACAGTTCTAATACTAGTTGGTGGGGTATGGTTGCACTTAGCAGCAACTTTGGGCAAGGAAATTTTGCCAACTCATTTGCGGCACTTCTGTACTGAGAACGAAACATATTCCCCCAACTGCAGACTGTATGGGCTTCATCAAAGACAATTCTTTCCACATGAACACTCATGAGGTTTTCCAACATGTTTTTATTAGCAAACATTTCTGGTGTACAAAATACAAGTTTGAACTTAGCGAGTTTCTCAAGACAAGAATTACGAACATCAACTGGGATCTCATCAGTAATTTTGCAAGCTGGAATGTCTAAAGTTAAACATCTACTCAAGAGATCATCTATTAAGGGAACATTTATTATGCCGAGGGGGGGGATGAAGATGTTAAGGGGGGGGCACTGAAATATTTTCTGGCATTAAAGGGGGGGCTCTGAAAGTTCTTGATATACTGAAGGGGGGGGGGCTCTAAACTTTTCAAAGTTTTGACCCCAGCAAATTCAAGTTAAAATTTTGACATTTTCAGGTAAAATTTGCATAATAAAGTAATTATTTTTGTGAAATGATAACCATTTTTGTAAAATACAGTCAATTTACATGCAATTTGTTTGCGAAATTTGCTTTAGAAAACGCCAGAAATTCAGTCCTAGAGCTTCAAAAATGTAAAAATTTTCTGGGGGAGAACCCCCAGACCCACCCTTTCTCCCAAAACTTAGTATGACAGTGCCAATCAATCACAAAAAGCTTTATTATAATTATTACACGTATAATCCTGCGACATCACTCCCAAACGTGAGATGCTTTGCTACATCCCTGATGGTTGTATTCGAAACCGATTTCAGCTCTAAGATATCCTTAGTCTGCTCTTCTAAATGGATACATGAAATCACCTATAGCTTATTTTAAATTTTTTGGCACTAGGTTTGTGAAGTAATTTACCCGCCAAAAAGTAGCAGTTCCAAAAACAAAAAAGCATACGATTTGTAAGAATGATATGTTCTATGTTTATGGGATATTTAGTACAAACGGGATGAAAATTAAAGAAATCGAAGCATACTGGCACTTTTGCATGCATTTTTCGCATGCATTTTTCGCACATTTGCAACAGATGCCGGTAGATACGTTGGTTGGGGGCAACATTCTGTAAGGTTCCAGCACATTACCCTGATCCAGGAAATCCTGGCCACTACATGAACGTGTTCAAGCCTCCGACTACGCTGAATGATGGACAACAACAACTTGTTGATAATTTCGCCCCCAGAGCCAATTTAAAATGTTTTTTTAAAGACCGTGCCATTTCATCTGGTGCTAGTGAGATGAAAGAAGCAGCACATCGGTAGTTTTGTTGAGGAGAAGCACATGCTTGAGTATATCAGACATCTTGAGGAACTGTAAATTGTATCTATGATAAGAGAGAATTCCGGATTGTACTCCTTCGATTCCGAATTCTAGAGGGGGGGGGGGGGGCGCATTGAAAATTTTAAAAACTTGGAGGGGGGGCATCGAATTTTACCAATAACCTCAACAGGGGCCCTGTAAAGATATGAGCTTTTTTCAAGACATCTTCATCCCCCTCCCTCGGTGTAATAAATGTACTTTCCCTAATAGGGAGGTTTAGATTTTAGAACGAGTACGAGTTTAAGTACGAGTTACGTCAGCATTGTGCGTTTTGGTGGGAAAAACCTCTGAAACTTGTTTTTGTTTACTTGTATAAGCCGAGATTTCTTCAGAAACTTGTACTGCTGAGAACGACTTTAAGATGGACGAACATAAGGAGCTTTTTATTTGGAAAAAAGAACACAAACAATACTTCGATGGTCAGGGAGTTTCTTGTCACACAACCGTATATGTTCAAGCCAAAGTCAACCGAAAGAAGGACAGGCTTGGAGGTTTGTAATGGAAAACCTAAACAAGCTCGAGAAGCCATAGTTTCGTGTTAAGTTTCGGTTTACAAAGATGGTGGAAAAATACAAAAAACTCGAACGAGGAGGCCAGAGGGATGGGGATAACAGGTGCAGAATTTGACGAAGTTTACCAAGGGATGGTCGACATTTTCGACCGTATGGATGAAGCGAAAATAAAATGGGATAATGAGAGTGATCTGGAAAAGGAAAAGCAGAACTTAGAAAAATCAAAAGGAAAAAAGCTACTGAAAGTCTGAGTGAAACTAGAAAGAGAAAAGAGGAGGAAGGCGAACAAATGATCATGCCGAAGCGAAAAAGAAAAACTACTGAAGCATTTAGTCTTTGTCAGGAAGGCCTGAAGATGAAGAAAGAAAACTTTAAAGCAGAAATGGAGTTGAGGGAAGCAGAACTTGAAGATAGAAAATTGGCTCGTCAGTCCCAGGTACAATTGGCTCAATCTCAACATGAATTTTTTGCCAATATGCAGCTGCAACAGCAGCAGTGCATGTCCCAAATGCAGCAGCAAAATTTACAAATGCTGTCTGCTATGAATGATTTGTTTAATAGCTCCTCGAAGTCTTCAAATAGTCAAGCTAAACTTCCATAAATGTTCTCTCAAACACTCTTTTTAAAGACCTGTAGTGAGCCAGGCATAACATTTTGTTAGTTACATAATTATGTTAAATTTTGTATAAATGTTATTAACTGTTTTTCTGTATTGAGTTCCATGTTCAGGAAGATTGTTTTCTTGATATACAGCGATTCACTTTTACAAACTGACATAATTTATTGTATTAGAGTGTATTATATGCCATTTTAATGTTTTAATACATATTTTAAAGTTGCTGTAATAAACACACATATAAGCAACAAATGGCCAACATTTTGTATTATTATTTCTATAATATACTCAATCTGTTTTGTAAATTATTCAATTTTAGGTGTGGGTGCATTCAATGGTATATTGGAAGGAGGTGGGGGGGCTGTGGGTATGTAAAGGGTTTATTAAATTTTCTCAGAACTGTAAAACTACAGGATCTGTAAACCTATTTTTGACAATTAAAGCTTTTTGACACTAGACATTTCTCATAATAATGTCAAATGCAGATAAGCATTTCGGTTTCAATTTTAAACAACAATTTGCATATCAAACTGTTGCATAGCCAATCAAATTTAATGTAACATAATTTTAAAGTTTTTATTGACATTTTACATCATTATGAGAAAGGTATATTGGCCGAGTGAGCTGAACATAGCTAAATGGTGCTCTAATTGTGTATGTCATCGAACTGAAAATACTGCTCCAGACTTGGTGGATCCAAGTTAAAATAGGTGCTGGTAGTGGAGCCATATAAACAGGTAATAGACCTTATTCATAAATCGTGATCGAGGCCTCGTATCCTAGGAAACGGGGAAAAACGCGGGAAAATTGACAAAATGTTTTTTTTGCTGTCGGCTATGGCAGCTTTTTTTCGTGAATATTACGGCTTTTTTCGAAAATAATATCTATAAAACTGAGTTTGAAAGTTGAAAAAAATATTCTGAGAAAATATAACATGATATTTAAAGCAAAAGATGCTGGAGTCAATCGAAAAAGGAAACCTTTGACTTTGTATTATTGTCGTAGTTTGTATGGCCAAAACAAACAACCAACAAGGCTACAAAACGTCTATACAACACCAAAATCGTAAGAAATATGAAACTATTGTTGAAGAAATAAGATTACAACTCACTCAGGTAATGTAGCCTTCATTTTTTAAACTCGTAAGCTGCTTGCAGAATGTTATCGACCCACAGCCATAGTTCATATTTTCCCGTACGAATCAATGACATTTGACGTTCTCTTGTGATTTTTGACCTCTTGTTTTCTTTCATATTAATGTCAAATTCAAAAAATTATACTTTCATTCTATAGTTGTCTTGATTTTTCACGGAATAACCTTTATATTGACGTTAAAATCTCAGTAAAATACAGTTTTTCGCTTCTGGATAAACACTGTCGCTACGTTGTCATTTTTCCCACACAAAACCGGGAGAAAAACCGGTCGCTTTTATAATATACTCGTTTACCGCTTTCGTTGTGGGCACAAAGTCTTAAAATACACACAAAATGTTATAAATCGCAAAAGGCAACAAGAAACAAGCCGTTGAAGTCGATATATAGCATCTGAATTTGGCTTGTCAAGCAGTTTTCGCTTGTATTCCCGCGTTTTTTTTACCGTATCCTAGGATACGAGGCCTCGTCACGATTTATGAATAAGGTCTATGGCATTGCATAATAAAGCACAGGTAGTATACATTGTTCCAACTTGTTCCAACTTTTCTTGAAATCCACAAATGCAAAGTACCCTGCAATCTCACCGAAGATCCATTCAACTGAGACTCGGACTTTACTCATGCCTTTGTTGAATGCCTTTTCATCATCAGTCAAATCAATATGTTTGTAAGGTGTTTGCAAATGTATCCTCTGAAGATATGCAGAATGTTTCCAGGTTGTTCAAAAGATCAGATCTTCGCAGTATGCCAGCATCATGAGACTTTCCCTCTGTAAAAATAGCACAAGGGTTACAATATGGTACATGCATCAAATTATTAACCCAAGGGGGGAGGGGAAGGGGTGCAAAAATTTAATTTATCATACAATACTTTTTATAATATAGCATTTGTAAATTCTGAACGCTGATTGGCTAAGAGCCGTGTTGATATAACTCCATGTCAACACGGGAAATTTTCCGCCGCTTGTAAACACGGAAATTTTTCTTATTCTTCGGGCTTTTGACATTGCTATATTATAAAACATATATAAAACATTTTTCCGTATTGATATATAGTTATATCAACACTCGTGGAAGTTGGGAAAAGTCGAAATTGTGTGAAAACACTCCGCCCTTCGGGCGTCGTGTTTCCACACAATTTCTCGTTTTCCCAATTTCCACTCGTGTTGATATAACTGTATATCAACACGGAAAATGTTTTATATTTGTTAAATATTGTATATATATATATTTCCTATATTATAATACTTTATATAATACCTTATTAAATTCTAATCGTTTAATTGGCTGTTTATGGTCACGTGATATTGAATAGAAAATTCCATTTCCCAAGAGTGCAATGGAACGCGTTCCATTGCACTCTCCGCGAGTGCAATGGAATAAAACGTATGGTACAATTGCACTCTTTGTGTTTTCGATAAATCGCATCCCTCAAAATGCTTCTCATACGAATTTATTAGTCTGTTCTGGACTTTTGGTATTATATAAAACAAATAATGAATGTTTCTTCGTGCAATGGTAAGAATATTTTCATTCGGTGAAAGATGGAATGTTCCATTCAACTCGGCTGTCGCCTCGTTGAATGGAACATTCCATCTTTCAGCTCATGAAAATATTCTTACCATTGCACTCATAAAAATTCATTATTTGTATAATGTTATTCTTATTCACATTCAGCCTTTTATTCACACCTGCACATTCAGCCTAACTGATAAACTATTTATTAACCCATTAATTAACCCATTAATTTTTTACTCGTCTAATGCCAGACGATTTTATGAGTAAAATCGTCTGGCATTAGACAAGTAAAAAAAATAAGTAGGGCGCATTGCAGCTTAATGGGTTAACTAGAGACATTGCAAGATTTTTTGGTTACTCTATTGACAAGTAAAATCATCTGGCATTAGACAAGTTAAAAAAATATAAATAGGGTGCACTGGGGCGCATTGTGGCTCAATAGGTTAAGCATGCACTATGCAATGGTGCTCTGCTGGCCAGTGCTGGATTTTGTGAGCTGGCCTACACCACTGTCCACCAAGCACAGTACGTAGGTACACCCTAAAAAAACAGGCCGAATCCATGACTGCAGCTAAAGATCCGATTCGCATTTAACCATGAAAGTGTATGCAATTAAAACTGATAATCTAGCTACAGTTTAACAAATTGTTTGCTCAAAATTATTTGCTTAAAATAAGGCTCTGAGAAATTATTTCGTTTTTGGGAGCAGAGTGGAGACTGCTGTCACTTTTTACAGGACAAAAGTACCTGCACATTAGCAATAAAGATCCAAGGGTATTACAGTTAGATATATCAATGCTCTGCCAACTGAGCTACAAGGCCAAGTCTGTTCGAGTGTGTGGTATTTCGGAACTAAGTCTACCACCTTCGATACCAATGTGTATCCCAAAGGTTGCGGGTTCGATTCTCAACTTTTCAGCCTTAGGCCATCACATATCTGCTATATCTTTCAAGTTCGTTGCACATGTCACGAGGCTAAAAAATTCCACCATAACACAATGCATATTAGTCTCCTTGTTCATGAAATACAAAGCCCCCGTTCACTAGTGTGCACAATAGGTAGAAAATAGACTTGAAACTTTGATAATATTCGATCAATGTTTCGTTTACACCATCTTGAAATCGCGTGTGTTTCCATGGCAACATAGCTGCCATGCGTGGATAAAAGCAATATGGCGGCTGAAACAAGTTGGTCACTCAAACATTTAAAATTGAATAAATGTTGAATTCATTTTGAGGATGTTTCACAATCACTTCTAAAGGTCACAGAGAAGCATCTGAAGAGATTTGTTGCTTGTCGTGAGAAATTGGCGAAGCTCGAAGACCAGAAATCTGTCACAATTCGGACTTGTTTACTAGTGAAGATGGGGCCAGCACTTAATTATACACCCCCCCTATAGACAAGAGTTTCTGAGGGGGGTTGAAAAAGCTGTTTCTGAGGGGTGAGGCAAAAATTTCTTAATTTCTGGGAGGGTGTTTGTGTCGGCACTTTGGTATTTTCTTCTTTATAGGACCTTATAGGGGTTCAAATTTTATTGAACTTGTCCATG